AGAAGAACCCTTGTTTGGATCACTAAACCTTAAACCCACTTCTGAACTCTATAAACCCTAAACCCTAAACCCTAAAACTCTAAAACCCTAAACCCTAAACCCTAAACCCACTTCTGAACTCCTTTTGCCATGTGCTTGCAGTATTCCTGAATCCATGACTACATGGCGTGCTTTGCGAGTTAAGCATTCGGCGGACAGGCCTTGCTCGTTCCTAGCAGGGAATTCGCGCAATAGATACGTACCTTGTGCCCTCCTAACCCTAAACCCTGAACCCTAAACCCTAAACCCTAAACCCTAAACCCTAAACCCTATACAGGACTTCAAGGACAACCGCACTCCCAGAGTCCCTGCTGCGAACCTGCAGGTCTCAAGGCATGTGATGGAAGGAACAGCCACGACCAAACCATGCAGCTTACAATATACTAAAAAAATAGACACTTATAATATACAGTATACGGTGTAAAATACATATATATATATATATATACATTTTTAAAATTATAGTATATAAAGATACCATGTACATTGTACAATATGCAATATAGAAAGATGTCATATGGACTTGCAGCCGTTCGCAGCCCGTGGGCGTTTGCCTCAACATCACAGTGGCTCCTTGTAACCAGCATAGCAAGCGCTGATGCCGTAGGGAGACTAGAAGAGTATAAGAGTACAAGAGTATAAGAGTACAAGAGTACAAGAGTACAAGAGTACAAGAATACAAGAATACAAGAGTATAAGAGTATAAGATTACAAGAGAATAAGAGTATAAGAGTACGTAAGAGTCAAAAAGACTCTGAGCGTGCAAAGATCCCCAGACAAGGTCCTGAGCGGACCAAATACACATCAAGCAAGAACGCGCCCTAAACACTAAAGCATCAACCCTAAAACCTACTACTGAGTTCAAGAACGTGCCACGAGAGCTCTTCTTGCCAGGGTGCCTGGCATGCCGCCGACCTGTCTTCTGCAGAAGGCTCAAGGTCTAACCCTAAACCCTAAACCCTAAACCCTAAACCCTAAACCCTAAACTAGGCGTGGCTTCGGGTTTAGGGCTTCGTGGTTTCGGGTCTGCCGACCCCTGGGCGGCGGACCCAGGGCATGAAACAAAACCCAAAGAATTGGGATGCTCCCCCTGATACTAACAGCCCTGAACAGGAATCATAGCACCCCCTACTATCATCCCTACTAAGGACTGTTAGTACAAGGGGGGAACATCCCAACCCAAGAACTTCAACAATGCGCGGGTCCTCCTGCCTGCGCCCCCGGGCAAGCTGCTAGCGCTTTAGCTTGCTGCTCCTGGGGCGCCTCCTCCGGGAAGGGTTCGGGTCCACGGCTGAGGCTTGGGATTTAGGCGTGTGTTTTTTTGCTTTTTTTTTCATAGAAATGTAGAATGTACTATAATAGAAGAAGTATCATATAATATGGTACACACATAAATACATTAATTACATGTTTGTTATTTGTTTAAGATTTTTAAATACATAGAAAGCACAATACACTATGTGATGTAAAGTACAAAGCAAATGATCTACACAGTAGATAAAGAATACTAATCAATAAAAGTACAAGAGATAATATACAATAGATAAGCATACAAAAAATTATAGCACATGCAGTATATGTTGTACAATATATATATATATATATGTATGGCCTACAATCTTCATCACACAAAATTTATAAGATACAATGTATAATCTAAATTATACGGTATTCAATATGCAATACAAAGCATATACTAAACTGTCTACGAAATGTGACATAACATATAATATGCTTTTATGTAATATGTAATATTTGGTATGTAATATTGCATCATAGTTGTGCTATATGTATATACTCGGACAGGTTGAGAGGTTCGTAACACTCAAAGCGTTTGGCCGCCTATGCCTCACATGATGTGTTGACTACTCTCAGGCGCAGGCCAACAAACCCTAAACCCCAAACCCAATATTCTCACGTCACAGCACTTCGACAGCACAAACACCACGCATGACAATACGCAGACCAGCTTTGGCCGTGTTCAGGGCTTAGGTCAAAAGGGAACAGCTCAGCTAAGACACGAAAAGACACCCTCCGCACCTTCAGGAAGACGGGCCTCATGCGTCGCTTTGGAGGGACGACCTGTTGGGAACCCTTCATGTCCATGGTTTAGGGTTTAGGGTTTAGGGTTCAGGGTTTAGGGTTTAGGGTTTGGGGTTTAGGGTTTAGGGCTGAGGGTGTAGGGTGTAGGGTGTAGGGTGTAGGGTGTAGGGTTTAGGGTTAAGGGTTTAGTTCTTGACATGCCTGCATCACACACACACACAGGGCAGTACATACTAGAGTGGCACGGACCCCAACCAGCGCAAGACCACTTCACAAGCATTGTAGCAGCACCCGGGAAGCACTCCAAGAGCATGCCCAGGCCACGCCACGAGCACTCCAAGCAAACAAGCACCGCAAGCATGCCAATCGCCTTCTAATGGACACCCTAAACCCTAACCCCTAACCTCTAAGCTCGAAACACTAGGCTTCAAGAACGATTCATATGCATTAAAAAAGAAGCTTGCACGGCTGTTAAGCGGCAGGCTTGATACGATTCATATGAGTTGAAACAAGCTTGCACGGCGGGGGGGTTGGCGCAACCCCCCCCCCCCCCCCATATTTGCAAACACAGTGATTCACAATTCCCCTCTTCAGCCCTCTCAAAAACCCTAAACCCTCACGCCTCCATCTTGATGAAGTCCGATCCCACGATGCTCTCGCAGATGCCGCACCTCACAGTCTCGTAGGTTTGGGGCTTCGGGTTTAGGGTGTAGGGTGCAGGGTTTAGCGCGTTGGGTGTGGGCTCTAGTGTGTATATGTCTCGCGGAGAACATCCACAGCATCATCCAGCATCCGCTGGTCTGCAATGGAAGGATGGGAGGACATGTTCGTGGCGGGTACTTATAACCCCAGTTGTAACTGTACTTACTAGCCCCCTAAGTCTCCTAAGTCCTCTAAGTAGGTTATAGGTAGACTTAGGATTGGGGTTATACGTACCCATGAACCTCCAGGCATACTGCTTGGCTCCCGGCCCCATGCAATTGCCAGTGGCCACCACCTCCTGTGTCGGAGACGCTTGCGGAACAAAACCCTAAACCCTAACCCCTAAACCCTAAAACCTGAACAAACCCTAAACCCTGAACCCCTTGAACACTAAACCCTAAACCCCAAACCCCAAACGCTAAACGCTAAACCCTAAACCCTAAACCTTAGCGAAGGTCCTGCAGGCTCTTCGGGGCAGCCAGAGTGGAAGCGTCATACCTTGGGTTTTGGGTTTAGGGATGTAGGGTTCGAGGGGCCTTGGAGCCAAGATTTTGGTACTAGGGTATGCATTTTGAACAACATGTCTCATGGCGAAGGCAAATGGAGAGGACCGGGCAAAAAATGTCCTGCCTTTGATGGTGACTATGAGCATCTGGCCCCTACACAAGCGAATCTATCACATTTGGGGCTGCAATTGGGGCACCCCAATAAGGGCTTAGGGTTTAGGGTTTAGGGATGTTTAGGGTTTAGGGTTTCGGGTTTAGGGTTTAGAGTTTAGGGTTTAGGGTTTAGGGTTTAGGGTCCGCCAACCCCGGCGGCGTGTTGGATGGTTTTGGGGAGGGAACCCTCCCACTCCCCTCGTAAACGCGGGGAGGGGGGGGGGGCCGGGTGGGGTGCAGAATTTGTTCATGGAGGACCGCGCCGCACCCTCCCCCCCACCCCCTGCCTTTTTCCCCCGCACCCCCCCACCCCCCGCAGCCCACACCCGCCCCTCCAGACTGCGGGTTGAGAGGTTTCGGGCCTCTTGGGTCGGCGGCCTGAGCCGGAGGCTCCTAAATTAAGGGTTTAGGGTTTCTAAATCCTCGATGCACCAAAACTCGCCCAGCGGCTGGCCGGCCAGCTGCGCCAGATCTTCAATGTCGGCCATGTCGGCTCACACTAAACCCTAAACCCTAAACCCTCAACCCTAGACCCTATGACCCTAAAATCCTATAACCCTAGGGTTCGAACCCTACAACCCCATAACCCCTTTAAGGAATTTAGTGGGGTTCAGGGCTCAGGGCACGGTTGAAGGTTTGGGGTTTAGCTCGAACTAAACCCAAAACCGAAAACCTAAACCCTAAACCCTTAACTTGAGAGGTTAGGGGTTGGAGTTGGGGGTTGGTTTCAAGGAGGATCCCTTCGCATCTCAGGATTTTTATGGCGAGCTCAGGGTTCAGGTTTGACGGCATCTTTCCTTAGGACCACCCAAAGCTACTCTGTTTCGGCTTTGTTTCCGAACTTTGGGTGCTCCCCTGCTATCATACGGAGCCTACTGTCTCGTGCTGCTGTTTCAAGCACAATGCTTGCAGCCAGACATGCCCACGAACCTTGAGAGACCCAGTTTAGGGTTTAGGGTTTGTGGCTAAGAGTCTCCCAAAAAACTCCCGATGCTTAGAAGAACCCAGAGGTTCGATGCTGACTTTGCAGAGCCACCGGTCCAATCGAACTCGAGGTCTCTGAAACCCGGCGCATTCTGCAACATCCCTAAGCCCTAAACCTCAAGCATTAAGGGGTATAAAGAGGGACCCTCGAAAGGACCGCAATCGTATTCCCCTATACAACCCGTATATAAAAATGTACCTCATTTCGTCCCTAAAAAGACCTCAATAGCCCCTAAATACCCCCCAAAGAACCCGCAAGGTCTCTTAAAAGGGTCCCTCCTTGAGCCCCTTGGTAAATCCGCCCCACGCATGCTGAAAAAACACCTGTTCCCCCCCCTTATACTAACAGTCCTTAATAGAGATTACAGTGCCCCCTTATGATAATCCCCATTACGGACTTGTTAGTATGAGGGAGAAACCCCCTAAACCCAAAACCCTAAACCCTAAACCCTAAACCCTAAACCCTAAACCCTAAACCCTAAACAAGCCTAAACCCTAAACCCTAAACCCTAAACCCTAAACCCACGAATCCTGAAAAAACACCTCAGAAGACTCCAAAGCAGCGCGGGGGTCCGAGCCAGGTCCCATCGCCACGCCTGCGGCCACGAAGCCCAGGGAGACCTTGTTGCAGTGCGGGCTGGGATCCTGGGGTGGACTTGGGTTTAGGGTTTGGGGTTTAAGGTTTAGGGTTTAGGGTTTAGGGTTTAGGGTTTAGGGTTTAGGGTTTAGGGTTTAGGGTTTAGGGTTTAGGGTTTAGGGTTTAGGGTTTAGGGTTTAGGGTTTAGGCTTTTGGCTTTTGGCTTTTGGCTTTTGGGTTTAGGCTTTAGGCTTTAGGCTTTAGGCTTTCGGGTTTCGGGCAGCCCTGAAGCCCTAAGCCTCTTTGTTGCTGGGCAGCCCCTTGGGCCACCATTGTCCCAGAAAGTGCCACTGCTCGGGCAGCCTCTCGTCATTGGTCGGGGAACCGACACCGTGGGAATACGCCAAAACCCAAAGCGTCCGTAAATCCCACACTTGCTGCCCTTGCTAAATATGTAGATATATATGTATATGTACATAAACAAATCAATAGAAAAATAAGTCAATATATACACATATAACATATCTATGTAGAGTCTCATGAAAATTCAAAATGTGCTACTGATATGCTCATTTCTCTTCTTATGACCTGCTGGTTCTGCGAAAGCTTAACTGGTGCGCGCTGCTGCGGCTGGCAAACAGTCGGACACATGCACGAGAGGCTCCCCCAGCATCGTTGGCACCGTATTCTCATAATACTCGCAATCCAAATGTCCATGGTTAAACAGATGATATAAAGTAACATTGAATCATGTGACGGTAACATTATAGATAATACATTTACATTTTACTGTACTACATTGAATTGCGTTGTAGCAGGTCGCATGAATTCATGTTGCACAACGTGTTGCGACATTTGATTATGTCCCGTTTGAGCTATTGCCGGCTTCCCTTACCATAGGAATAGGCGGCACAGGGCATTTTATGCCGTTGCCAACTTATGCTTCGCACCTTCGAGAAGATTGGCATTCTGTTGTAGGATATGACACTGAAAGAACACGTATAACCAGAGTTAGATGAGAATTACTGACAAATATACCTATACTTTTCAAAGAATTCTACAGGGTTAGACTACAACTACCAGAAGTTTCAATTCTACAGAGTTACAGAAAAAGCTACTCATGAACATTCCTGTCGTTTTTTAGTTCTCTTGTTATTAGTATACTCTTCTACTAGAAATGCGAGGAGGCGGGGTAAGGAGACCAAGGGTCTGCTTGCGCCAAGGACTTCCGAGCTCCCGAGCAATCAGTCCCGCAATTGGTGCCGCCAGGGACATGTTCACCTCTGCCTGGGCGGGTTTAGGGTTTAGGGTTTGGGGTTTGGGGTTTAGGGTTTAGGGTTTAGGGTTTAGGGTTTAGGGTTTAGGGTTTAGGGTTTAGGGTTTAGGGTTTAGGGTTTAGGGTTTAGGGTTTAGGGTTTAGGGTTTAGGGGAATTTCAGGTCTTGTGACTTGGGGGCTGCAACGCGGACCCTTACACTGTGCTTCTGACGCGCGCCGCCCCTCACCACGGCACGCAGCATCAAAGCTGCAAACTGAAATCCTCCTGGGCCCTACGGAGGATTTCCCTCGGAGCCAACGTATAAACTCAAAACCCTAAACCCTAAACCCAAAACCCAAAACCCTAAACCCTGAACCCTGAACCCTAAACCCTAAACCCTATACCCTAAACCCCAAACCCTAAACCCTAACCCCCAAACCCGAAGCCTTAACTGCAAGAAGCCTCCCGATTCGGCGCTGTGGACAACCGCCGCGTGACCGCACCCAGGCAGCCAATGGACCTCAGGATGTAAGAGTCTAGGGTTTAGGGTTTAGGGTTTGGGGTTTAGGGTTTAGGGTTTAGGGTTTAGGGTTTAGGGTTTAGGGTTTAGGGTTTAGGGTTTAGGGTTTAGGGTTTAGGCTTTAGGGTTTAGGGTTTAGGGTTTAGGGTTTAGGGTTTAGGGTTTAGGGTTCAGGGTTCAGGGTTCAGGGTTTAGGGTTTAGGGTTTAGGGTCCAGATCACCCACTGCCACCTCCAAGCAGGGGCTTAGGGGTTTAGGGGTTTAGGGGTTAGGGTTTAGGGTTTCGGGTTTAGGGTTTAGGGTTTAGGGTTTCGGGTTTAGGGTTTAGGGTTTAGGGTTTAGGGTTTCGGGTTTAGGGTTTTGGGTTTAGGGTTTAGGGTTTAGGATTTAGGGTTTAGGTCAGGCCAAGCTGACCTAGGGTTGAGGTTTTGTGTTTAGGGCTTTACAAGGACAGGGTCACAGAGTGCAGTCGTGCAATAGTAGAGTCATACCATCATGCAAACGGCATAATACCAGAAGATAATCACACAAGGCCATATCTACTACAGGTAGAACAAGATTGAAGAATCCCCACACCACATGCACCGTAAAACCATCGCATCCTAGAGCTTCGACCAACTATGCTCGCGGCCCTATGGGCAGTGCCGGCAGCAGGTAGGGCGGAGTGAGCTGCACCCTGGGCGACAAGATGCTGTGGACCAGGAACCGTGAGGGCCATGAGGGCCTAGGGTTTTTAGGGCGTTAGGGCTTTAGGGCTTTAGGGCTTTAGGGCTTTTGGGCTTTAGGGCCTTAGGGCTTTAGGGCTTTAGGGCTTTAGGGCTTTAGGGCTTTAGGGCTTTGGGGCTTTAGGGCCTTAGGGCTTTAGGGCTTTAGGGCTTTAGGGCTTTAGGGCTTTAGGGCTTTAGGCTTTAGGGTTCAGGTGTTCGGGTTTAGGGTTGAGGGCACACCGTTTGAAACATTGCCGCAGTTTGGTTTTTTGCTCCACAGCAGTGTGGCGCACCCGTAGCTGGATGCCACCGTCCGGCGCGCTGTCTCCTGCCGGCGAAGAAGACATAAGAGTTTCAGCACATCCTGAACCTAAACACTAAACCCTAAAACCTAGCCCCTATACCTTAAACCCCAAACCCTAAACCTAAACCCTAGCCAAACCCTATTATGACACTTGCCAGCCTGGGCAGCAACCGTGGCCAGGACGATGCCAGCGACCGGCACCAGCTGGATGCAGGGCGGCGCTGATCAGAACCCTTACAGTACTGGGGTTTAGGGTTTAGGGTTTGGGGTTTAGGGCTTAGGGCTTAGGGCTTAGGGTTTAGGGTTTAGGGTTTAGGGCTTGGGGTTTAGGGCCTGGGGCTTAGGGAGGGTTTAGGGTTTAGGGTTTGCTGTACAAGTTTAGGGTCTCTGGTTTCAGAGATGGCGCGCTCATGAGATCTCCCGCGCAATGGGGGACGGAGCATTCGACCTTTGCTGAGCTTCGCCCTGCCAATGTGAGTGCACATGCAGACTGAACTCACCCTAAACACTAAACCTAAACCCTACCCTCCAAGCCCTGAACCCTAAAGCCCGAGGCCTTGTCGAGGGCCCCAGTCAGCTCCGTCACGTCCGTGCCATTCTGCAGAGAAGTGGTGAGAAGCGCGAGGTTCGACACTTCTTCCGCGCACACTGGACTTCGGGTGTAGGGTTCAGGGTTTAGGGTTCAGGGTTTAGGGTTGAGGGCTTGGGGGTTCAGTAGGATTCAGGGCTTAGGGTTGAGGGTGTAGGGCCTAAGGGGAAAGTAGTTTCAGATGCTCGGAAGCTCTGAATCTTCTCGCACTGTGCGCCATTGCCGTCTACAAGGCAGCCCCAAACATGCTGGCAGCGCAGCCACGCCAGGACCCAAAGCAACTACCTGGCGGCGGGGCTCGGAATGAAGCTCGGCCCCCTGTGGAGCGTGTGAGAGTGTGTGTGTGTGTGTGTGAGAGAGAAAGAGAGAGTCTGAGTGACTGTGGGGAGAAAGAGAGAGAGGGAGCAGGGACCCAAACCTGTGCCGACACTGTCACTAGCTTCCACACGGAACCCACATCGTGCATGAAGAGCCCTTTCTTACGTCTAATTTAGGGGTCGGAATATTTCCTACTGGTCCCTCTATAGTTCTACTAAAATGACCCCCAAAATCCCTATTCCAATTATAGTAAGCTCTATATCAAACCATGAGCCCCTGTCACCCTAAACCCGAAACCCTAAACCCTAAACCCTGAACCCTGAACCCTGAACCCTGAACCCTGAACCCTCAACCCTGAACCCTCAACCCTAAACCCTAAACCCTAAACCCTAAACCCTAAACCCTAAACCCTAAACACAGCACGGCGGCCGCAAGAGGTGTCGACATCGAGGCAAAGAAGGTGGCACCCACGAGGAGGACCCAGATCACCCACTGCCACCTCAAAGCAGAGGCTTAGGGTTTTAGGGTTTAGGGTTTAGGGTTTAGGGTTTGGGGTTTAGGGTTTAGGGTTTAGGGTTTAGGGTTTAGGGTTTAGGGTTTAGCGTTTAGCGTTTGGGGTTTGGGGAAAAGGGTTTAGGGTTTAGGGTTTAGGGTTTAGGGTTTCGGTTTGGGGTGGATTATGGCTGTACAAAATCCCAATGCCGCGCTACATATATACATGCACCGATGTATGTCTTTTTTTCCGTATACGTGTGTTACTAGACTTTGCCTGGAGTTCGGCGCACAAAAAGGGGTGGGGTTAACCTCACAGCTCCTCATTAGAGCAGAAAGCTCTTTGGCGTTTGAGCCCCTGAATCGTGAACCCTATGAACTTCCAGCGAACCCTGGATTGCTGAAATGAAACCTCCTGCTGCACGCACGGCTCAGAGATCTTAGTCGTCCACGACTCCATCTCCTCCTCGGGCAAGTCGCCTTGCATTGCATTTTCATCGGGGTCTGTACAGGCCGGGCCCTGCCCACAGAGCGGATATGTCTGAAATCCATATAGCGTCTTTTGGCGTAACACCAAACAATTACGGATATATAGAGCCTAAACCCTAAACCCTAAACCCCAAACCTTAAACCCTAAACCCTAAACCCCAAACCCTAAACCCCCTAAAGAGCATGTATGTTTCGCTTAGCTCATTTGGGGTTTGGGTCTGCAAATGCAGGCGGTGTCACTCGCTCCAAATCGATCTGCACTTTTCTTCCACCTGCATCTGTCAACTGCGTACCATAGGCATAAAAGGGGCCCCTAGGTTCGAGCCGCCGTGTAGCGGACATCACATGAGGCTTTCAGGAATGGCTATACATCTGGACTTTCACAGCCCGGTCAAATCTCTTTCCTGAAAGACTATCGGCGGTTGTAACCTAGTTGCTTCCGCTCTTCGAGCTTCTCTTCCAGGGCTTCGGCTTCACTCACAATTTGATATTCGCCCGTCATCAGGAGGTCGTACAACGCCGCCATGTTCGCATTCTTCTTCGTCAGCCCATCCACAATCATGTGAGGGTGAGGCACCCATCGAACACGGCCCTTGATCGCATTCATATTCTGTCTCACCACTTGAATCTCCAGGCATGTCCTCTTGTCCTGTGAGGGTCCGGTGCTTTCACGGGATAGATGATCGTACAGAGCTTTCGCGTCGATGATGCATAGACTCTCCTTCAGCTCCTTCTCTGTCTGGCTTTTGGCGATTGCCACAATCTTGTTCTGCTGTAGATGCTCTTCCCATTTCGCCAGCTCAAATTCCGGATCGGTCAACTCGTTGAAGATGGAGACAATCCAGCAAAGCTCACCTAGCCCCTTTGACAAGGCTTGCGTCTCAGCTGCCAGCGTCGAATTCACCACTTTGTGAATTCTTCCACTTCGCCACGAAACTAACGAGCAAGGTACTCTTCGCCCTCGCTGTAAGTCTTCATGAAAGGCGATGACACCATAGGCACCCTGACTGTTGCCCCCATAAGCATTTGCGAAGCTAGCATCCGAAACCACTCCCCATGCCAAGCTTTCGAAGGGAATCGCCCTGATCTTGATCGCCAGTGTCGGGTTTGTCTTGATCAGGTGCACCGCTTTGTTGACGTCAATCAAGTCCTGGATCACCGGCTTGGGAAAGGTCGTCGCCCCCAGACTGGCAGCAGCCGCCGCATCTGGCCGTCCCTCTTTGGCCGCCCAGTTCAGAGCACCAATCACTGCTCTCATTTGCGCAATCTCGCTGTCATTGGCCAGAGCTTTGGGATCAGCTTTTCTTCCCTTGGCCATACTAATTGGCTCCAATCGCTCGCCGATGAACTTTTCCATGTCAACCTCAAAGTCGAAGTTTGCCAGCTGCTTCACTCGCCTTCCGTTGAAACCAACACCTTGTTCAGCTTCCTGAACCATGACAAACTTCCCGAATCGAAATCGCTCACGAAGTTCGGCGATCTTTTTGTAGTGCTCCTCATCACCGAAGGTAAACAGATCATCCACCTCCACAGCAATGGCTCCACGTAGGGTCTGCTTCCCTGGGAGAAAGTAGACTGTTGGATCCAACACCGATTCTCGGTACCCAAGAGCCAATATCGCTTCCTTTAGAGTTCGTCTCCAGTGAATTGGCGCATCGCCAAGTCCATAGCATCCGGCAACAATCTCCACGAGCTGCTCGTCGTGTAGACCCTCGATCCCTGATTTTGGAAGACTAGCGTACAGCTTCCCTTGCTTTCTCACGAGTGGCAAAGACTGACAGAAAGCGTTCTTCAAGTCGCCCACACTCGCCTGATACTTGAGGGATGCCGCAACCTGGAGAAGCACTCCGAAGCTGGTGCTATTGAGCGTTGGTGCGTAACGATCCAGCTCCATAAGATCTGGATCTCGGTCTCCACGAATGCACCATCTCGATTTCATCTGAGGAGGCTCGCCTGGTTGCTCGGCTGGCTTCCACCGTCGAACCATTCTGCTGGGTATAATCCTCTGCTCCTGGCCTCGGGCTCTGAGATCTGCTCGAACTGCCCTTGATTCCTCAAGACTGAGAACTTTGATGGCGTCAGTGCTTGCCACCTTACACCATTCTTGAAGATCTGATTCGCGCCAAGCAGGCCATTCATGTGGCTTGATCTCGTGCTCGAACACCTCGCCCTGACCTCTAGTCTTGGTGGCCATGTAGTCGTGAATGTTCACTTCAGTCGAACTGAAAACAGTGAACCCAACCCAGCTCTTCTTCATATCGTTAACCTTCTTTCTCTGCTTGAACCAGTTGTCATTGTAGGTGTCCACCGTGCCATCCTCCATCACCATGTAGGTTTGACGATGTTTCAGTCTTCTTGGCATCAGAGCTCCTCGGATCTTCGTTGGGTTACATAGTCGCCTGCGCGGCTCGTAATGTCTCCTCACCACAACATTGCGACTCACGTCCTCCCAGCAGTCTAGATCAACTTTCCATCGACCATCTTCTGCATAGAACCATGCCTGCGATGAAGAGCTTGATTCTTGCTTGGCATAGTACGGAGAACTGGGAGGCCTTTTGCTCATCAGTCTGCGAGTGGCTTCATAGGGTGCACTTCCCGGTGGATGTCCATCCATTTGTTGATTCCGTAGCACAGTCTGCACTGTCTCTGGAGAAAGTTCTTGTGCACCACTTGACATCTGTCGACTGGGCGCAGGCTCTGGCTCTTCCTCTGAAGACTGCTGCCTGACATTGGTGGATGTTGGTGAATGTCCCACTTGAGGTACTGGAATTTGTTCTTGAACACTTTCATCGATCGATGGTTCATATTGCGCCAGCTCTTCCTCATCGTAAGGTCCTTCTGGCACTGGTACATCTTCTGGAAGTAGTCGTGGTCGTTGATGTGCCCTTTCTTCGGGATGCCAGTCCATTCCTCCTCGAAGTTCCACAGCCTCCTCTTCTTCATCGGGAGGACCTGGTTCCTCCGTCATGTCCTTGTAAGTTCGCTTTTGGCTGGACCGCCCCAACTCCTCACGCAGAACCTCCAGCTCACCGGCCAGTAGCTCTTTTGCAAGCTGTTCTTCACTGGTAGCATGTCGACAATGCTCGCAACTCACTTTCCAGAGCTCTCCCTTCATAGATACCCACAAGCTCGGCTGCTCAATCGCCAAAACCACTCCAGGACCCACCCATGATGGCTTCCGACCCTCATGGGACTCCTCGGTCATCATATGCCTCCTCTTCCGCTCCTTTGGCTGTCGGTAGACGTACACGGTCTCGCCAACCACGAACGTGGGAGGAATGCGGCTTCGGGCATTCCTTGCTCGAGTGAGAGCAAGTTGTGTCTGAGATTTGATGTAAGCCTCTTGTGCCGCTTGACGCAGCTCCAAGACTCGTCGCATCTCATCTCCAGCACTCTGCACCACCAGTCTAGGATCTGTCGGATCATCCGACAGGAGAGATCCTGGAAGTCGAAGATTATGCCCGATCTGCCGTTGTGTGGGAGAAAACCCGCTCCGATTCCCGTACCTGTTCTTGGCATTCTCCACCTCGTAGAGCAGGGTCTTCAACTCTTCCCACGTGCTAATCTGGGTGGTCTCCCTCGCTTTCTCATACACATGCTTGTAGTGAGCTCCAGCTCTCTCCGTCTTCCCAGCTTGCCAGGGAGATCTGGCTGCAGTGTGACGAATCAAGGCGCCTGCTTGAGCTGCCATCTCCGCGAATTGACCTCGAAATTCGGTTCCCAGGTCAGCTATGATGATCTCAGGAACGCCAAACACTCTGCCCCAAACTCGCAGGAAGGTTCTCCAGGCGTGGTCGGACTCGGTGTTCTTGAGCCTTTCCACCATCTGGTAACCGGTTCCCCAGTCCACCATGTTCAAGGCCGGAAAGGTCTCTCTCTTGTCCAGCGCGCTCAGGAACACCACGTCAACTCCCACCACCTTGCCTGGTTCATAGCTTTTGGGCAACACAGCAGGTCGTGCTGGCTTGGGCTTTGGCCTTGCTTTGCACACATCGCACTCGAACTTTGTCGCCACATAACGGACCACATGCGGTTTGGCGTTTGCCAAACGCAAAGATCTCGCCATCTCCTTACCTGCTGGATGACCCATATTCTCGTGCAGCTTCTTGATCAGCCGTTTTTCTTCTGCGGTAGGCTCCAGTGCATCATCAACCGGCTGTTGCCGCTCATCCAACTCATCCTCCTCCTGCACATAGACCTTCCCGCACTTTCCGGAACATCTTGGCACAGGAAACCCCGTTTCGTGAAGTTGTTGAGCAACGCCGCGTTCCATTGCATCAACTCCTCTGGCCGTAAAGGCTGTAGCCACATAGCGGCTTCCAGACCATGAACGGGACTCGTGCCACCTCTTTGGGTCAAAGGAGAGAACCCGGTGCTTGATGTTGTGGAGCTTCCCGGCCTGCCTCTTCCCATTCGGCAAGTTCCGAAAAACGGCACGTGATTCCGGAACTTCATCGTCCTGAATCCATATCTCTCCTCTGCGATACGATCCTGCACCGATCACATAGTTTTGAGACTCCTTCTTGTTGTGTAGATCACGATGAAGACTGCTGCCTGCGTTCAGCCCCAAAGATATGGTAGTCCAAGTAGGTTTTGGGATTCCTTGGATCTTACACTGAAACTTCATCATGTTGTTGAGGTACATGGCACAGTTAGGCAGCGACTTCGTCCGGTTCGTGACTCCATGACGGTTGCCGTGTGAGTACATGCCGAAAATCAAGTAACTTCCAGCTATGGTTGTGGACCTTGCCCCAGCTCGCGTAGAAGGCATCCTCTCCACGAACTTTTCAAACGACACCAGTGAGTAGTCACGTTCTCGAATCAGACGACGTGCCATGCCTTCCAGGTAGCCGACATCTGCCTCGCTCAGGTATGAATGACTGGCCTCCTGGTTCTGAGAAATGCTACTGTCGTCGCAGTGGTGTGCCTCCTGGTTCTGAGAAATGCTATCGTCGTCATGGTGGTGTGCCTCCTGGTTCTGAGACATGCTATTGTCGTCATGGTGGTGTGCCTCCTGGTTCTGAGAAATGCTATCGTCGTCATGGTGGTGTGCCTTCTGGTAAGCGACAAGGTTCTCGGAGACGTGTGTCAGCTTTGCTTCATGATCAGCCTCGCTGCCCATCTCATTGCTCACCGCACACATCAGCCCAGGGTGGTTTCCAGTGAGCATCCGCTTGCAGTCTAGAACCTGCTGGACTCGCCGTCCAGTCATACCATCGCAGCTTGTTCCAGCCTCCACATAGTCCGCATCACACTCGGAATGCAGTATCAAGAAGGCCTTGCCCGTTGCATCCTGCCACGCTGCGAGGTCCAAGGCTGCCTCCAGGTCTTCACCAGAAGCACACTCCGCCTCAATCACCATGTACTCGGGTTGTCGAACCGCCATCCGACTCCAAAAACTTGCACTCGCTAATTCTTTCACTCCCAACCAGTCAACGCTACGCCAATCCTTTGTCTCCGTGAACTCTGAGGCTTGGACGAACTTCCCAATGGCATTCTGCATTCGCTTCCTCTCGCCGGCAGTGAGTGCCTTCGTCTTTCCGAACTCCTCGCTCCAGGCCACAAGAGCCGCTTCATCTTCGAACACCGCGAGGACCTTCTCGTCTTCCTGTAAGCTGCGCGGCAACCATCCGTTTCCGTTTCGTTCATCCCACTTCGCCCCATCATCATCCCACACATAGTAGCTTTTGGAGATTGGCATGCTCCATGGTGCATAGGAGTGTTGAGAGCCAAATGCCCTCATCTGCAGGCTTCTTGCTATCTTCAATTGCGCAGCGGTTTGGATCAGGCAAGCCTGCTGAGGCCCAATCCCAACTGGTAGCCAGTCTTCTAGCTTGAGTGGTCGACCATCTGGAAGCCCTCCATCTGACTCGCTTGGAGCTGACTCATGAAGCTCTGAAACCAAGCGACCTGCTCGTGCAGCATTCGTGTTTCGGTCTGATGCTGCTGAGCCTGAGCTTCCATCTGAGCCTGGAACTTGCTCTCCATCTGCAGCATGTGCTCCTTCATCTGTTCTCGGCTCGCTTCCACATGCTTCTCCGCTTGACTTTGGATCTTTACAATCTCCTCGTTGAGCACCTCCAAGTCGTCCAACTCCATTGCCTGCTGATCCTTTATTTCCATCTGCTCCTTGATGTCCCAAAGGAAGAACTCGCACACTCTCTTCTCGCATCGATAGAAGTGTCGGCCCTTCGTTGGACCCTCTTTCTTCACCTGCCAGCTTCGAGCCGGCTTGCCACACTGACACGTGATGATCTTCATCTGCTCGCTGCTCGATGTGGCACATGCGCGATCCTTCTCTTCCTTCTTCCGGGCCAGTTGTGTCGGATTGAGGTACTCCCAGCGGCCCTTGCACTTGTTGCAGTAGATCTCCTTCTGGTGCTGGTTCCCCGCGCCCTTCAACTCCTGCGCCGGGTGGTTGCAAGCTTCGATGGCAACTTGCGGTTTGTCCTTCGTCTGACGTGTTCCAAGGAAGTTGGCATAGCGGATCACCTCGCCATACTCCAGCTGTTTGTCCTTTGCAGGAGCTGCAATTGAACTCGCTTGGGTAGAAGGACATGGGACCTGTGAAGGATCCCCCAGCCCCAAGAGCCGCGAAGAGGAACTTGGCAGCCAGTCCAGCACCTTTGCGCGAAGGTCTACCAGGATCATCAGATCGAACACCTTCTCGCCCACCACTCGCCAACGTCTTACAGCTCTTCGGCTTCTCGTCACTGCCGCTGGTCTTCCACGGGGAGCTCCATCTTGCTCTCTCTGCTCGAGCATGCGCTGCAGCATCAACGATGCCATGATTCTCGGCGGGCTTCGAATTTCCAATCACTGTTTGCTTGAGTGAAATCATGCTGTGGGTCGCAAACACGAACTGCTCATGCTGTGCTTTGCCTCTGGCTCCATCAGGCAACTTCCAACCATCTGGTGAAAAGGCTGTCACATCAACCGACATGTGCCCGGACGGAAGTGCATGCATAGGCGCCTCCACGCCGTACTCTCGAATGTCCAAGATGTCGCGATCCAGGTCGATGACTGCCCTGAGCTGTTTCAGCAACTTGATGGGCAGGAGTAGTGGAACGTTATCAGTCACGACTGTCAGCTCAATCAACCCGTTGACCCCAGCTATCCCAATCGGAACCTCTGCAATGCCGAGGACGGTCGCCTTTCCTCCGACTCCACAGGCCTGAGCTTTCTTCTCGGTGTTCCACTTAAACTGTAGACCGTGCTTGCGAAGCGACTCTGCAAGTCTTAACAGTGCTGCTTTGCCGATCAAACCATCCTGGGCCGCAGTGTCCACGACTCCCTCGTGGGCACCTGTCACAACACCGACAAAGACAGGGGCGGGCTCATACTCAAGCTGGTGCTCAGTCTGCTCGGGCTTATCTCTCATCACAGCACGAAGGACGCTTCCAAAGGTGGGAACAAACGACATGAAGACGCTGGACGGACTGTTTTCCTTCGAGTTCTGCACGAAATAGCCTTGGGCCGAGCCAACGCCGTTTGGCGACTCAGCTTGCACAAAGAACCCCGACCTCGTGGAGGTAGACGAAGAAGATGCTGCCGAAGCCCTTTGGGCTGCAGCAACGCGTCCCCTCTCATCTGGAGGATTCCTACACTCCTTGGCCCAATGTCCCAGCGCCCCACACCTCGCACACCGCGTCCTCAGCTTCAGCATGTCCACATGAACCTTCGTGCTGCCATCTCGGCTGAACTTCACGTAGTCGCGGTTCTTGAAGCCCAAGGTGACACGGCCTTTTCCTTTCCCTTTGCCCTTGCCTTTGAAGCCTCCACTTCCTTTGCCGCTTGACGGATTGCGGCCTGCAGGATAGTAGCCCCGGCTGTTCTTCTGTTCCCGCAAGGAACGTCGCACATCTTGATACGTAGCCAGAGCCCTCCTTTGTCCAAGCGGCGAAGATTCCGAACTACCACAGCTCGGTCAAATTTCCCTTCGCCCCATGTCAGCATCTGGCTTTCTTGGACATCGTTCAAGTTGGCATGCCGAAACATAACATATCCAATCACCATGTCATGTAGCTTCACCCCCTGACGCTCCAGCTCCTTGAACGCATACTCCATGCGAATCACGAACTCGCCGAAGGTCTCCTTGGATCCTCTGATGTCGCCATAGATCGCCTCCTCGAAGGCTTTGGGCAGCGACGTCTCCAGGTGGGGCTTGAAGTGCTCCTCGAGCGCGGCCAACAAGTTGTCGAGTCCTTTCTCGCAGGCGATTTCCTCGAAGGACAAGTTGTCGGCTGTAGACCGAGCCGCGCCCGACAACTGTCTGAGCACCTTCACGCCTCTCTTGTTCTTTGGGATTTCTGTTTCGAATTCCCCAAGCTTTAACTCCTTCAACCATCGAGGGAAAGAACGGGAGGGATCCCGACCGTCGAACGGTGGCGGAGGTTCCCTATCCCTCCACGAGCCGGAGGGTCCGGCACCATCAGAAGCAGCCATCTCAGCTGCACCACCAGCCGAAGCCGCAGCAAGGCTCTTGCCGTCTTGGGCCGGAGATTTGCCCTTCTCCTGACCTTTGCCACCCATACACTGGACGGCCCACCTGGAGCTTCACGAAGGGCTCCGCTACCACCTGCAAATGCAGGCGGTGTCACTCGCTCCAAATCGATCTGCACTTTTCTTCCACCTGCATCTGTCAACTGCGTACCATAGGCATAAAAGGGGCCCCTAGGTTCGAGCCGCCGTGTAGCGGACATCACATGAGGCTTTCAGGAATGGCTATACATCTGGACTTTCACAGGGTCGAAAGTCTCATGTTTGGGGCATCGGGTGGTGGTTCAAGATGGTTCCAGGGGAGCCTCTGACCCTCCAACATCTCAAGGCTGAGGGGTTTAGGGGTTTAGGGTTTAGGGTTTGGGGTTTAGAGATTAGGGTTCAGGGATTAGGGTTCAGGGTCAGGGTTTAGGGTTTAGGGCTTGGGGTCTAGGGTTTAGGGCTTGGGGTCTAGGGTTTAGGGTTTAGGGATTAGGGTGTAGAGTATCTTGCGGCCAGGCAGCTCTTGTGTATCATGATCAACAAGCTCTTTCCCTCCTCCTGCGCCATGAAGATCAGGGCAGAAACGTCCCTTCGGGTTCTGGGTTCTGGGCTTGGGGGTTTGGGGTTTAGGGTTTAGGGTTTAGGTTTTAGGGTTTAGGGTTTAGGGTTTAGGGTGTAGGGTTTAGGGTTTAGGGTTTAGGGTTTAAGGTGCGCGAACCGGGATGCTGGGTTTTGGGTTTTGGGTTCTGGGCTTGGGCGTTTACGGTTTAGGGCTTCAGGCTCAGCGTCTCTCAAGTCCGAGCATTCATGAGTCAAGCTCGCTACTCTGGCATCCAAGATCTGTCCACCCACCCTTTGGATCCCGCAACAGTAGGAAACTCTGTGTAGCGAACCCTACACCCTAAACCCTAAACCCTAAACCCTAAACCCTAAACCCTAAACCCTAAACCCTGAACCCTGAACCCTGAACCCTGAACCCTGAACCCTGAACCCTGAACCCTAAACCCTAAACCCTAAACCAAACCCTGAACCCTAAACCCTAAACCTTCAACCCCTGGCCTTGAACCCTAAACCGAACTCTAGGAACCCGACAACCCCAGGGTTGGAACCCAAAACCCAACTAGGGGTTTAGGGTTTAGGGCTTATGGCTTAGGGTTTAGGGCTTATGGCTTAGGGTTTAGTGGCTTAGGGTTTAGGGTTTAGGGTTTAGGGTTTAGGGTTTAGGGTTTAGGGTTTAGGCTTTAGGGTTTAGGCTTAAGGTTTAGGCTTTAGGGTTTAGAGCCCAGGCCTGAGTGTTGGGCTCAATCCAGCCGACGATGCACAGAAGACCCTAAGACCCGGAAACCCTAACGTCACCTAAACCCCCCAACCCCCCCAAACGAAAAACAAAAAGACTGAAACCCGTATGGCAATCCCAACCGTCCCCCCCCAACAAAAATAATGAATAAAAAAAGAAGAAGAAACAAGAAACAAGCAAAACATTTGGAGTCCTTCTGGCGCTGCAGAAACAGCTCCGTCTCTGCCGCTCCAGTCCTTAAAGTGCCCCGTTTAGGGCTTCGGGGTGTTTTTGCGGCTTAGGGTTTAGGGTTTGGGGTATAGGGTTTAGGGTTTCGGGTTTCGGGTTTAGAGTTTAGAGTGTAGGGTTTAGGGTTTAGGTTTTCGATGAGTGATACCCCAAAACCCTAGACCCCACACACGCGCTCACCAATATGAATAAGGAACCCAACAGAAACCCACCAAGAACGGCAGATATAAGCCCTACTTCATATTCGACACAGGAAACCCTAAACCCTAAACCCTAAACTCCAAACCCTAACCCTAAACCCTAAACCCTAAAACCCTAAACAATGGAAACCCAATTCACTTCAAGCCTGGGCTGCGACACTGAGCTTCGAGCGCCGGGAGGCCGCGCATTCGGCTCCTCAACGGTTTAGGGTTTAGGGTTTGGGGTTTAGGGTTTAGGGTTTAGGGTTTAGAGTTTAGGGTTTAGGGTTTAGGGTATGGGGTTTAGGGTTTGGGGTTTGGGGTTTAGGGTTTGGGGTTTGGGGTTTTAAGGTTGAAAGGGCTTATGCAAGCGTCACTCGGACATCCAGAAGTGATGATCCGCTTGCGGGGCAAGTACGTGCAGAGCCCTTACATCTCATCCTGCCCTAGCGCTGGCTGTGCATGCGTCGGTCCCGAGGGCCAATATTTTGGATATAGGGTTTAGGGTTTAGGGTTTAGGGTTTAGGGTTTAGGGTTTAGGGTTTAGGGTTTAGGGTTTAGGGTTTAGGGTTTAGGGTGACAAAAAACGGCCTCACACTCTTCGAGCACGGAGGTGCTTTGAACTCATCCATTCCAGGGCATGTGGAAACCGGCCGCAGCACTGCCAAAGGTTTACAGAAGTTCGAATGCGACACCCGAAGCAAACGGCTTTAGGGCTTAGGGTTTAGGGTTTAGGGTTTAGGGCTTCGCATTTGCGGTACATCAACACTGCTTATGTGCCTTTTCGACTCTTTTGTGGTGATGCGGCGCGACGGGGTGACGCAGGTTGGTCAGAACACCAGTGTCCACTTGGGATTGTTACTGTGGAACTTCTACCATAGAGTCCCTCATGCCCTGGTTTAAACCAGCCCCCCAACTTAGCTATTGTTGCTGGCACAATTCTGCATACCCGAAGCCCTAAGACATAGGCCCTGAGCCCGAAGCTAAACCCTAAAGCCGACATCAGTCAAAGTGCTGCAACACACTCGCGATCAGGGTTTAGGGTCGAGGGCTTAGGGCTTCGGGATCCAAGAGGTTCATGTAGGGTTTAGGGTTTAGGGTTTGGGGTTCGGGTTTGGGGTTTTGGGTTTGGGGTTTAAGTTGAAAAACAGGCTTGCAAAGGAAAGGCCGAGCGTCTGCATTGAATCCAAAGCCGTGGCAGGATCACGGCCACTCGGAATCTGCAACAGGGGACGCGCACCACACGTTGCGGTTTCGGGTTTAGGATTTGGAGTTTCGAGTTCAGGGTTTAGGGTTTAGGGTTTGGGGTTTAGGGTTTAGGGTTTAGGGTTTGGGATTTGGGGTTTGGGGTTTGGGGTTTAGGAATCAGGGCTTAGGGTTTATCTCAAGCCCATCTTCCCCACCGAGCCCAAACCCCCCTCCACAGCCCTCATGCAGCCCTTCGGGAGCAGGGTTTAGGGCTTAGGGTTTGAGGGCTTAGGGCTTAGGGTTTGGGGTTTAGGGTTTAGAGTTTAGGGATTAGGGTTTAGGGTTCAGGGGTGTAGGGTTTTGAGCTTAGGGGTACGTTAGTCCTCTAAATCGTAAACTCTCTTTTGAGTACCCTGCAGGCATCCGAACTGGCCATCGGAACCCCAAAAAAGGCAATGGTGTGGGAAACCCCTGTGTCCCCTTTTGGACGTACAAATACCTAAACCCTAAACCCTAAACCCCAAACCCTAAACCCTAAACCCTAAACCCTGAACCCTGAACCCTGAACCCTAAACCCTGAACCCTAAACCCCCTCAACCGCTCTTGGGCCACGACCGCCCCGGGAAAGACGTAGCAGCGCTCGAAGACCAGGGCATCGCTGGCGACGAAGTCCTGCCGACTGGGCAATAGGACCCTAAACCCTAAACCCTAAACCCTAAGCCCTAAGCCCTAAGCCCTAAGGGTGCGAACTATGTGCCTGCCAGCTTGATCGGGCCCTGAGGCCGCCAACCGACATGCCAATATTTCGGGTTTAGGGCTTAGGGCTTAGGGTTAGGGTTTAGGGTAAACCTTAAACCCCAAACCTGAAACCCTAAACCCTAAACCAGGGAGACTGTGGGATCCGAAGTATGGGCCCTTAATTTGGGTCCCCTGTTATATGACCCTTAGAAACACTATACAGAATGAGGGACCACACTTCGGACCCCTTGAAATCCCGTTAAACAAGGGTAAGGGACCCCTAAACCCTAAACCCCTAACCCTAAACCCTAAACCCTAAACCCTAGACCCTAAACCCTAAACCCTAGACCCTAGACCCTAGACCCTAAACCCTAGACCCTAAACCCAAACCCTAAACCTAAACCCATGGTACCAACCTTAGAGAGACGCAGCTCCAGCGGGTTTGGGGTTTAGGGCCTAGGGCCTTGGAGCTTGCAGCGAACGATCACAAAGGCCTAAAGCTAAACCCTAAAACCCTAAAACTGGAACCCTAAACCCTACACCTGAAACCCTAAACCCTAAACCCTAAAGAAACTCTGCCAGCTCCGAGCTTGTCCCGCGTCCTCGTTGCTCAGGGCCTGACGAGGCGTGGGCATGCTCTGACTCTCCTAGGGGCCTTCATGGGATCCCGGTTTAGGGTTTTGGGTTTAGGGTTTAGGGTTTGTTTAGGGTTTAGGGTTTAGGGTTTAGGGTTTGGGGTTTGGGGTTTAGGGTTTAGGGTTTAGGGTTTAGGGTTTTGCCGCATCCGGTTTTAAGGGCGACTCTGCCTGGGGTCCCTTGAAAAAAGGCCAGAAATCCAACTCCAAACCTAAAATGGCCGATACACCAAACCTTGGGCCTAAACACTCAATCCTAAATCCTAAACCCTAAACCCTAAACCCTAAATCCTACACCCTAAACCTTCCTTGACATCCGAAAGGACTCCATGACGTGCTCGAAACCGGCCTCTCGCGCTTGATTCAGCGACGGTAGCTCCTTCCGAGCCTTGGCAGGCGACACTTTAGGGTTCAGGGCTCAGGGTTCAGGGTTTAGGGTCTAGGTAGGGTTTAGGGTTTAGGGTTTAGGGTTTAGGGTTTAGGGTTTAGGGTTTAGGGTTTAGGGTTTAGGGTTTAGGGTTTAGGGTTTAGGGTTTAGGGTTTACGGTTTACGGTTTAGGGTTCCGGGTTTAGGGCTTAGGGCTTAGGGCTTAGGGTTTAGGCTTTAGGGTCCATACTAACATTCCAAACCAGAGTTGGTTTTTCGATCGGAGCACCAAGCAACTTTGACGACATCTTATGTTGTGATCCATCTGCCTCGACCCCTCGGGGTTTAAGGCCTAGGGTGTAGGGATAGGGTTTAGGGTTCAGTGTAGGGTTTAGGGTTGTCCAAGACATCTCATAGACCCTGATCAACTTCATGCACACCTTGGCAGCAGATGTCGAAAGAAAGTTTTGGTCGTCTCATCGCTCTTCGGGTTCAACTTTAGGGTAACCTTGCAGCCGTGTTCACATGGACCCAAACTGTGGTGTCCTCCGACGGTCTCACTCCCCCTATGCGCATTGATTTACGCATTGCTTTGGAGAAGTCGCAGGAGCTTAGCCGTGTAGGGGTCTGTTAGACGCAGCTACAAGCAATCAACCTGACCACTGTTGCAAACCTGTCAGTGTAGTTCGCCATCTTTCGCGGGGTGGTGGGAAGAGAGGGGGGTGGGAGGGGTTGCGGAGCAGGGGAGAAGGGGAGGGAGAGAGTGGCATGTAGAAATGTCACAACCAACCCACTCCCCTGCACCCTACACCCTACACCCTAACCCTCAACCCTAACCCTAAACCCTGAGCCCTAAGCCCTAAACCCTAAACCCTAAACCCTAAACCCTGAACCCTGAACCCTAAACCCTAAACCCTAAACCTGTCTGAACCTGTCTGAACCTGAAAACCTCGGTATACCTCGGCTTTCTGGGTGCCCCCCACCGTCGGATCGTCGGAAAAGAGATTCTGAGGAGGCACAAGGGAGCACAGCCACCGAAGAGCTTCGTGTGTGAAAGCGTACCGTCGTAAGAAGTTACAGCTCGCAGGCTTCATGCGTCTTGCGGTTTTATTCTGTGCACTTCTCAGCTAGCTCCGAGGATGTGCACTTTTGGGGAGTGCCGGCACGGTTACACTCCTAGCACGCTCTGCTATGCGAACTCAAGACGCTGCAAAGGCTGTGTTGGTCTGGCCTCTTGATTGGGCAGGGCCGCCAAAGACAGCAGCCTCAGCACTGACTCCTGACCACGGGAGACTGGAGGGAGATACATGCTGGAGGCTCGCAGTTTAGGCTCGAAGGAATTTTGTAGTGTGCGGCGCCGCCTGATTGTGGCTTGAGTAAAACATGTCATATCTCTCCCATTTAACTGTCTGGTGCAAAGGATAAGGTTGGTGTCTGTGTCTACACTGAACCCATGAAGACACACGTGACCGCCCTCTGACAAAAAGTCCCCTGCCCCTAAACCCTAAACCCTAAACCCTAAACCCTAAACCCGAAACCCGAAACCCGAAAACCCGAAACCCGAAACCCTAAACCCGAAACCCCAAGTTGCACGTCAAGGGTACCAAAGCCATGCCCTCCAAGAAGCTTCCGTATGCACATGGCGACGTTCAGCGCGTGCTGCGGACTTCCACACGTCAAAGAGAGCCGAGGCTCCATTAGGGTTTAGGGTTTTGGGTTTTGGGTTTAGGGTTTAGGGTTTAGGGTTTAGGGTTTAGGGTTTAGGGTTTAGGGTTTAGGGTTTAGGGTTTAGGGTTTAGGGTTTAGGGTTTAGGGTTTAGGGTTTAGGGTTTGGGGGTTAAGGTTTGTCTAGCCAGGCTGTGACCTCCGCAACTCTCTGGGCTACTGCTTCTATCAGCCACTGACCAAGCCTCGTCGTCTGCAATGTTGGCCACCTGCCAAGACCCCTCTTCAAGGCAGTTCGAGCCACGGGGCTGAAGGTAAGCTTCTCAGGAGGGAAATCAGGAACGAGGTTTTCTGAGATCTCGTAAGGGACGAGATATAGACCCCAATGACCTAACTCCTCACCGAGTACCAGTCCAGCATACACCCGAATCCAATCTCCACTTCCGACCTCGCGCAACTTCTGCATCTGCTGCATCGGCTCCATCTCACCTTGCCATGGCCATCTTAAAGCCCCTGCTCCTGAAACCTGCCAAGTTTGGTGTCCCCAAGCCCTAAACCCCAAACCCTAAACCCTAAACCCCAAACCCTAAACCCTAAACCCTGGTGTGGGGTCGGAGTTGTTGGGTGTATGCAGATCATCTTATCTTGTATCGAGCCTCGTCATTCGCCTTCACATTGTGCACGAAGGACTTTGCACTCATGCACAAAGCGTCTTTGCCAGGCCCCCCCTTCAAACCCATCAAAGCCTCAGACGCCAGACTCCGAAGCCGCTTGCCCAATCCCTAAACCCTAAACCCTAAACCCTAAACCCTCAACCCTAAACCCTAAACCTAAATTGGAGGGGGAGGGAGCCTGCGGGCCGCTGCGGCTGCTGGAAGTTCCTCAGCTCGTCATGTTCAGGGTTTAGGGTTTGGGGTTTAGGGTTTAGGGCTTAGGGTTTAGGGTTTAGGGTTTAGGGTTTAGGGTTTAGGGTTTAGGGTTTAGGGTTTAGGGATGTTTAGGGTTTAGGGTTTAGGGATGTTAGGGTTTAGGGGGATATAGGGTACCTCATTCCCTCATCCCCTACTAACCAGGCTCTCGGGCTTCTGGGCGTTCAGGGCTTTTGGGGTTTGTGTGCTTGAGGGTTTTAGGGTTTTAGGGTGTTGGGGTTTAGGGTTTTTGGATTTTGGGGTTCAGGGTTTGGGGCTTGGGGTTTAGGGTTTAGGGTTTAGGGTTTAGGGTTTAGGGTTTAGGGTTTAGGGTTTAGGGTTTAGAGTTTGGGGTTTAGGGTTCGGGGTTTAGGGTTTAGGGTTTGGGGTTTGGGGTTTCGGAAGCTTCGGGCCGGGTTTTGGCGCTTTGGTGGTTTAGGGTTTCGAGTTTCAGGTTTGGGGCAGGAGGACAGCAGTTGCCTGCCCATAAGGAGTAGCACTACTGATCCAACCTTCAGTAAGGATTCTACTGGAAACTTGAGGGGGGGGAATGCTCCTCAAGTGAAGGCCATTGGAATTTCTAGATCCATGAAGGCCGTCACTCCCAGAAAGTTCAATACCCCTTCATTCAGGAATATCCCTTAAGTGGGTGTAGGGTTTAGGGTTTAGGGTTTAGGGTTTAGGGTTTAGGGTTTAGGGTTTAGGGTTTAGGGTTTAGGGTGTAGGGTTTAGGGTGTAGGGTTTAGGGTGCAGGGTGTAGAGTGTAGGGTGTAGGGTGTAGGGTTTAGGGTTTAGGCTTTAGCTTTAGGCTTTAGGCATTAGGCTTTAGGCTTTAGGCTTTAGGGTTTCATCGCATCTTCCGGGGCGAATTGGAGGAACCTTCGAAAGGGCCGAGGTGCGGTGAGGCACTGCTGCTCGACACTTCAGACACGTCGGGTGGCTCGAAGTTGTCCTCCACCTGCATGGTTTATATGTACATATATATTTTCTAAAAATTCAAATTATATTTACATTTTTGTGTTTCCCTAAACCCTAAGCCCTAACCCTAAACCCTACAGTAGCGTTCCAAAGTAGCATATCTTGATTGTTGTCTTCGAGGCGGGCGCTTTTGGTCCCCAACATGTTCAGGGGTTTAGGGTTTAGGCTTTAGGGTAACTTTCCCTACTTCATTTACTTGTCGGTCAACGGGAAATTTTGCTGTGTCGTCAACACCAACAACCGCAGCGATGAAGAAAGCGAGCCCATATCTAGCTGAAAGCTCACACACTGCTGAATAGAAATACAGACGCAGTCCGTGCCAAACAGAAACCTGCCAGATCCCACGATGGTAAGGGGTGCCGGTGACCTCCTGGCTTGAAGTGGGAGAAAACAACGGGGTCCCAAGAGGGTTTCAAGATGGGATGATCCTCCCTATACTATCAGCCCTTAATCGGGATGAGAGGAAGGGGTACTACAATCCCTACTAAGGACTGTGAGTATAAGGGGGAACATCCCAAGTCTTAAGAGCTTAGGGTTTAGGGTCTCCTGATGAAGGGAGGCCCCAAGCGGGAAGACGTCCGTGCCAGACGTCATCTTTGTCGAGCGGTTGGGCTCTTCAGCCATCATGGAGACCCCGATTGCCAAAGAACATAGAAAGCCTCAACCCTAAACCCCGTGCTATAGTTTTTTTTTGTTTTTTTTTTTTTTTTGGGGGGGGGGGGGGGGGGCATATGGGCAAGGCTCAGGTAAAGAGTCGAATCCGTTGTGCTTTCACGATGGGTTGCAGGCTCTCGCCTGCGCCGTTGCTGCAGCGGGGGCCGCGGGTTCTGCCATTCCTGAGACGGAGGCTTGGGGCTTAAGGGTTCAGGGTCAACCGCTGAGATTGGTAATAACAACCACTTAACGACGTGGCTAAAAAGCAAAAGCCTGGGCTCCCTGGCTGAGGTCTCATATGCCTCAGTATGATGAGTATTGCATTATTCTTACAGTTCTATTCTCGAAGTGATTTTGAATGCCATGCTCAACATAAGTCCTGATGCAACTCTTGATATCATGTTTAACATTGTTCTTCATATTATGAATGTTGGGTTATTGTTCTTATTGGTAAACATTGTTCTTCATATTATGAATGTTGGGTTATTGTGCTTGTTGGTAAAATTAACACTATGGGTTCTGCTTACCACGATTCTCAACAATATGATGATGATTGTTATGATCATGCTTTCTATTGCTACTACTGTATACGTACTGGTGCTGTCAAACCCTAAACCCTAAACCCTAAACCCTAAAACCTAAACCCTAAACCCTAAACCCTAAACCCTAAACCCTCATCGTTCATGCTTGCCGTCCCTGGGCCGATTCAATCAACCCGCACATGCATGGAGGGGGAGGGGGGGAGGGTCCGTCACGAGATGAAGGTCCCAACGGCTCCCAATGTCTCAATGACAGCAAAGACCCCGAACTCTTGCCCTCCCAAACCCATTTGGGTTTAGGGTTTAGGGTTTAGGGTTTAGGGTTTAGGGTTTAGGGTTTAGGGTTTAGGGCTTGGGGTTTAGGGTTTAGGGTTTAGGTTTAGGGTTTAGGGTTTAGGGTTTAGGGTTTAGGTTTAGGGTTTAGGGTCGTTTAGGGTTTAGGGTTTAGGGCTTAGGGTTTAGGGTTTGGGGTTTAGGGTTTAGTTTTAGGGTGTAGGGCTTAGGGGGCTTAGGAGGCTTACGATCGCCAGCCCTGGGCAGGCTGCCACTCTGAGCCACCCGGCGGCGGGCCTTCGTCAGCTGGCTCTCTAATGAGGCCGTGCGCTTCTTGACATCCTGGCGGGGAGAGTTGATACCCTAAGAATAGAACCTACAAAAATGCAGGCTTTGGGTTCTTAAGGTAGGGAAACTACTACGAAGAGCTACAGCAAGAATGGTAAGAAGGAAGAAATCCGAGAGAATGAAGAAAAAGAACTAACCACGCAAGAAGACGAAGCTCAAGAGGTTTCAGTACATCTCTAGAACGCCGACACCTTGAACAGCTGCACCTCTGAAACGACTTAAGCCCTAACTCTTAGACTAAATTCTCCTAGAAAAAGCGGAGTGCATGATCTCACTACGACAAGCATGGACTGGGCAACTATTGTCCATCGAACCCCTGGAACGCAAACTTGTTGCGTAATTCTCACGATTCGTATTGTCAGTATCACTCTTGTATACATCACTTTGTGCGTGAACCTGTCAACCTCTTGCTCTTCAATGAAGCAAAAGGGTGTGGTAACAATTCTCAACCTCTTATTTGCAGATCTCTTCATGTGTAAGAGGGCCACCCTCAACCCTAAACTCTACACTCTACACCCTAAGCCCTAAGCCCTAAGCCCTAAACCCTAAACCCTAAACCCTAAACCCTAAACGACTCAAGCTGCAGCCGGCGCCAGCCTCGTAGGCAGCTCTCCAGGTCGAGCCGCCCGGCTCCCCGGGAGCTGGTGCGGCAGGAGCCTGGGGGGAGGGGGAGGGCTCCTTTGGAGCTTAGCATTTGGGGTTTAGGGTTTGGGGTTTAGGGTTTAGGGTTTGGGGTTTGGGGTTTGGGGTTTGGGGTTTGGGGTTTGGGGTTTGGGGTTTGGGGTTTGGGGTTGGGGGTTTGGGGTTGGGGTTTGGGGTTTGGGGTTTGGGGTTTGGGGTTTGGGGTTTGGGGTTTGGGGTTTGGGGTTTGGGGTTTGGGGTTTGGGGTTTGGGGTTTGGGGTTTGGGGTTTGGGGTTTGGGGTTTGGGGTTTGGGGTCCCCCCGACCCACCGGCCTCCACATTGATCTTGATGCCTGCATGTGGACACGCAGGCACTGGCAAGACTGACATGAGAATTGCGCCCAAAATAAGAGGGGGATCCCTCAACCCTAAACTGGCGGAAGGGCTTCTTTTTTTGCAAAGGTGTGGCTCGGCCATGTTTCCTTGCAAAGGTGTGGCTCGGCCTTGGTTCTTGGTTCGGGGCTGTGAATACGGTAAATTGCAGCATTGCAGAGGCTGCAAATACTGTAAATAACAGCATTTGTGCGTTGCCTGCAAATACTGTAAATAGCAGCATTTGTGCGTGTCCAGAGGTCGCAAATACTGTAACTAGCAGCATTTCCGAGTTTGCAGAGGCAGCAAATACTATAACTAGCAGCATTTCTGCATTTTCAGAGGCTGCAAATATGGTAAATAGCAGGATTTCTGAGTTTGGAAAGGCTGCACATACTGGGGGTTGGGAGCTTGATCTCGGCAAGCATAAGCGGCATTTCTGAGTGCCGCAAATACTGTAAATAGCAGCATCTGCGCGTTGCCAGAGCCTGCAAATTCTGTTAATAGCAGCATTTCTGCGTTGTCAGAAAGCTGCAAATAATGTAAATAGCAGCATTTACGCGTGTCCATAGGTCGCAAATACTGTAATTAGCAGCATTTCCGAGTTTGCAGAAGCTGTAAATACTGTACAAATAGCAGCAGTTCTGCATTTTCAAAGGTTGAATAGCAGCAAGTTTAAACCCGCCCACCCTCCCCCATTTGCAAACACAATGCTCGCATCATGCGTTTGAAAAAAGAGTGTATGGCTTATAACAGGTTTTGCAAGCACAGTGCTCGCATCATGTGTTTGAAACTGTACGGCTTAAAATGGGTGCCTTGAAGAAGCGGGGGGGTTGGGGGGGGGGGGGCAGCCCCCCCCCCCCATTTGCAAACACAATGCTCGCATCATGCGTTTGAAAAAAGACTGTACGGCTTAAAATGGGTGGCAGCCCTGAAACAAGAAGGGGAGGGTTGGGCCCCCCCCATTTGCAAACACAATGCTCGCATGATTGGTTCGTACGACTTCAACCCCCCCTCCCCCATTTGCAAACACGATGCTCGCATGATGGGTTTCAGACAAAATGTTCTTTCAAAGCTTTGTGCGTCCAAATAGAGCGGGGGGGTTGGGGGGGGGGGGCAGCCTCCCCCCCATTTGCAAACACAATGCTCGCATCATGCGAGTGAAAAAAAGACTGTACGGCTTAAAATGTGTAGCAGCCTTAAGAAAGCCGGGGGGGGGTTGGGGGGGGCGCAGCCCCCCCGCGCCCCCCCCCCCATTTGCAAACACGATGCTCGGCGGGCATGATGGGTTCGTACGACTTAAACCCCCCTCATTTGCAAACACGATGCTCGCATGATGGGTTTCAGAAAACGTATGTTTTCTGAAAGCTTCGCACGTCAAAATGCCGGGGTTCAACGCGGAGCAAAGAACATATGTCCTTTGAAGAAAGCTCGCACGTCTAAAAAGAGCGGGGTTCAACACGGAGCAAAGTCGAGCCAAGCCAATCCGAGGCGAGCCAAGCCCCAACCAAGCGAGCTAACCAAGCCAAGGCCGTGCCTAGCAAGCCAACTTCAGCCGAGCGAGGCAAGCCCGAGGCGAGGAAAGCCAAGCCGAGCCTAGCCGAGCCGAGAAAAGCCAAGCCGAGCCAAGCCAAGCCAAGCCACACCTTTGCAAGGGACAGGCCCGAGCCACACCTTTGTGAAACAAAAAAAACCCCTGGGCCCCCTTCAACTCTAAACCCTAAACCCTAAACGACCGCCTTCGGGAGCCCCCAGTTGCTCGGCCAGCGCCGCCTGCACGAAGGTTTAGGGGTTCAGGGCTTAAGGGTTCAGGGTTCAGGGTTGAGTGTCTAGGGCTGAGTGTGTGGGGTTGAGGGTTGATAGGGAGATTTAACATGTATGTCTATATATATATATATATATATATATATATAGGTTGAGGGTTTAGGGCGAAATGTCATGCAAAAGTCAAGCACGGAAAGTCCCCGAGCCCGAGCTCATCCCACCTCCACTTGCTTGCTCAGCAGCTTCGCCCGCTCCGCCTGCCAAGCTGGGCTTCCACGGAGCCCTTAAAGAGAGAGAGAGAGAGAGAGAGAGAGAGAGAGAGAGAGAGAGGGAGAGGGAAGGCTAAGCCTTAGGGTTCATAGGGTTTAGGGATTAGGGAGTAGGGTTTAGGGTTGAGGGTTTAGGGTTGCGGGTTGAGGGTTTTGGGGTTGCCCATGCACACCTGGACTCAGACATCAGCCGAGAGCTGGGGACCCGGGGCCCGGGTGCGAGCAGGAATAGCCCTTGATTAAACCCTGAACCCTAAACCCTAAACCCTAAACCCTAAACCCCAAACCCTAAACCCTAAACCCTAAACCCTAAACCCCCACCCCCTCCCTTCACGCGGCCTCGGCTTCATAGGCCTCGCGGAAGATCGCTTCGGCCTCCGAGTCGCCCTAAACCGACGGAACAGAAGAGGAGCTGTGGGGGGAGGGGGGGGAAGGACAGGTGGCTTTAGGGTTCAGGGTTTTAGGGTTTAGGGTTTAGGGTTTAGGGTGTAGGGTGTAGGGTTTAGGGTTTAGGGTTTAGGGTTTAGGGTTTAGGGTTTCGGGGCTGCGTAGGGTTTACGGTTTAGGGTTTAGGGTTTAGGGTTTCAGGTTTCAGGTTTCAGGGCTTACGGTACTCGTCACTCCGCACATTCAGCAGAAACGACACGCTGACACCCTGAATCTCAAGCCTATGGCATGTGAACCTTCAACCGTAAATCTTGACCTTAGAACCCTAAACCCTAAGCCCTAGACTCCAAAACCCTAAACCCTAAACCCTAAACCCTAAGCCCTAAGCCCTAAGCCCTAAACCCTAAACCCTAAACCCTAAACCCTAAATCCCAAACCCTGGTTTCCACAGGAGTCTGCGCGGCCTCGGCCGTCTCCCCATCCTCAGCCTGCAGCACGGGAGATCAGATTGCAACACGCAACGATTCTGTTCCCCCTTAGACTAACAGTCCTCATATATATATATATATATATATATATATATGGGGTTTAGGGTTTAGGGTTTAGGGTTTAGAGTTTAGGGTTTAGGGTTTAGGGTTTAGGGTTTACGGTTACTAACAGTCCCTGATAGGGATTATCATCGGGAGTACTAGAATCCCTATTAGGCACTGTTAGGTGAAGGGGGAACATCCCGAATTATACATGCTACTGCACGATTCGGATACACAATGTATGATAGATTGTATACGATGATTATATACAATATCTTGTATATAATGTCATACTCTCTTGTTTCTTAAATATTCATGGCTGATTTCAAATACAACTCAGTATATATCAGATAGTATGTATGCTATACATGTTATATCATATCAAACGTGTAGCGAAACAACAATCATCACAGTTTTCGTCATAACAAGACGAAGCAGAATCATAGGACCCTAAAACCTTAAACCCTAAACCCTAAACCCTAAACCCTAAACCCTACTAAACCCTAAAACCCTATCCCAGGACAAGCTGCTTGGGGCGCTGCAGCAGGGCCTGGGCGTACGCTAGAGGTACCCCAAACGGGGACATGGCCGACAACCATGCGCCCGAACTTGGTCCCTCAACCACCCTAACTCCTAAACCCTAGACCCTAAACCCTAAACAATAAACCCTAAACCCTAACCCTAAACCCTAAACCCTAAACCCTAGGCCCCAAACCCTAAACCCCAATCCCCACTTTCCCAGCCGAAGGCTTTTTGCTCCTCAGCTCGCAACTCCCAGGGTCACAGACTCCATCCGCAGGGCGCAGCTCTCCTCGTACCGGGCGCGGGCGCGGGCGCGCCGGTAGAAGCAGGCGGCGCAGAGGCCTAGGACAATTTCAAGCCGTGGACCCGCCGAAAAACCCGAACAAGCCCTGAGGACCCTGAAAACCCTAAACCCTAAACCCTAAACCCTAAACCCTAAACCCTAAACCCTAAACCCTAAACCCTAAACCCTAAACCCTAAACCCTAAACCCTAAACCCTAAACCCTAAACCCTAAACCCAAACCCTACACCCTAAACCCTACACCCTAAACCCTCTCAAGGGTTTGCCAAGGATATGGTCCGGGTTGCCCCACAAGGGGTATGTTGGGGGAGTGCTCTGAGGCTCCTGGAGTTTCCAAGCTCACCCTCACCAACATTCGCTCGGAGCTCTGAACCTTAAATTTGGGTTTAGGGTTCAGGGTTTTGGGGTTTCGGGTTTAGGGTTGGCGTTTAGAGTTTCGGTTTTAGGGCTAAACCCCAAACACCGCCAAGTGACCGATCATCATGCCTGAGCAGGGTGATGCACAAGTTGGTCGCCAAAAGCGCTCTCACCCGTGGCTTCGAGAAGCGTCCGAAGACTGGGGCTCAAGCAAACTGCGCCGAAGGCTCCCAACAGGCCGCCGATCCCACTATCTGGCAATGGCGGTGCCATGGAACAAATCACGTAGGAAGTTCGCGTGAGGGTCGAAGGGTTTAGCGATTCGAGCTGTGGTTTTTCAAGAGCTTAACTAGGGTTTCTTGAGCTTAGGGTTTTTGAGGGGACGGCTGCATTCTCCACTAAACTAAGCAGCTAGGGACGGCCTGCAACGATGTTCATGAACCCCTCTCCCTAATATTCGGGTCTATTGGGATTTTGAGCTGGAGGGTGGGGGGGTTCGAGCCCTAAACCCTAAACCCTAAACCCTAAACCCTAAACCCTAAACCCTAGGACCCTAAACCATAAACCCTACACCCCCGCCTTCCCCGGGCTTCGAGGTCAGGTCCCGGGCCAGAACTCCACTGAATCCATCACGGCACCTGGATGTATTGCTTGGGCTGGGCCGCTAACTTGGGCCATTGGGCCTTTGGGGGGGGGGGGGGGAGAATCGCAGGCATAATATAGGAACCTTTGCCCGAGTTATGCATACACATATATATATATATATGTATATTATATATTTATTTATTTGCTTATTTATTTATGTGTTTTCTTTTTGCTTTGATATATTTTTTCATTTATTCATTTACTTATTTTTATGTACATACATATGTCGTGTGTATATGTAAATGCAGGTCTTATCGCCGACTCATTGTTTTGGGAAAAATCATATCCAGAAACCCTCAACCCTAAACCATGAAACCCCGAAATCCCCTCGACCCTAAACCCTAACACCCTGGAAACCAGAAGTCCTCCCGCAACAAAAGCTCGGCCACGACGCCGTCGACGCCGCGCCGCGCGGAGAAAATGGAGGGCCCCAGGCGCCGAGGGCGGAGGTGGAGGAGCTGGGCACGGTTCACTTGATTAGGGGATCCAACGTATGGGCCCTTAATTTGGGTCCCTTGTTTTTTTCCCCTTAGAAAAAGTGCCCACACTTCGGATCCCTTTAAATCCCGTTTCACAAGGGTGAGGGATCCAAGGGCCCGTGGTTCCAAGCTTAGATTGATGTTGCAAGGGTCGGAGACCAAGGGTTCAGTGTTTCGGGTTTAGGGGTTGACGTTTTCTACGGCGTGCTGAGGGTGTGGGGGCTCAGTGCTCAGGACTTAGGGAGGACACCAAAAACGAGAGGCCTGGGGTGTGGGGGCTTAGGGTTTAGGGCCTAGGGCCTAGAGGAGGCCCTGGAACCTGACACGCGGACTCCGTCAGCTGGCTGAAGCAGACGAGCTGCCCCCCAGCCGTAGTGGTCTCCAGCACGAAACCTTGCTGTTTTGAGTTCGGGCATGCAGCATGCAGCAGGAGAGCAAGGCAGCGGGCAGGCAGCCCCTAAACCCTAAACCCTAAACTCTAATCTCTTGGGAGGTCGGCTGTGCGAACAGAGCCTTCACGCATGCCCCAAGAATAACGCAGCCGAGAAACGCCGACGTGCTGCTGGGCATCCACCTATCGTAAAGGCCCTCCTGATCACATGTCTCAGATCAGATAATGGTTCAATGCATTCTGTTATATTCTGTTGATCCCTTTCCTTGCTGCTGCCCCCCCCCCCCCACGTGCCATGTTGCCACCGTGGCCCACGATGAAGTGTTGCACCCCATCAATGGGCAGGGAACGCTCGAAGGCATGGACATGGCCCGAGAAGAACAAGTCCATCCTCCAAGTCAGAGAGCAAGAGAGCGAGAGAGCGAGAGAGAGAGAGAGAGACAGAGAGAGAGAGAGAGAGAGAGAGACTGCAAGAGAGCGAGAGAGAGAGAGAGAGAGAGAGAGCGGAGAGAGAGCGGAGAGAGAGCGGAGAGAGAGAGCGGAGAGAGAGCGAGAGAGCGAGACAGAGCGAGAGAACGAGAGAGAGCGAGAGAGAGCGAGAGAGAGCGAGAGAGAGCGAGAGAGAGCGAGAGAGAGCGAGAGAGAGCGAGAGAGAGCGAGAGAGAGCGAGAGAGAGCGAGAGAGAGCGAGAGAGAGCGAGAGAGAGCGAGAGAGAGCGAGAGAGAGCGAGAGAGAGCGAGAGAGAGAGCGAGAGAGAGAGCGAGAGAGAGAGCGAGAGAGAGCGAGAGAGAGCGAGAGAGCTAGACAGAGACAGACAAAGAAAGAGAAAGAGCAAGAAAGACAGACAGAAACAAACAAAGAAAGGCAAAAAGCAATAGAGAAAGAGAGAGAGAGGGAGAGAAAGAATGAGAGAAAGGAAGGAAAGGAAAGAGAGAAGGAAAGAAAGAAAAGCAAGGGAGACATGGGTCTCCCGAAAAGGTAAGAGCGTCAGGAGAGGGCCAGAAATCGTAGGAAGGCTTCGCAAAGGAGCTGTATTGAGGATGCCGCCGAGGAACTTATCCGGCAGCAGCAGGGGTTCAGCTGCTGAGCGCAGCTTGCGTGTTGCCACCTGCCATCTCTGCAATCGGCTTTTTCGGCTGCAATCACGTTGCTGAGCTGTAAGCTTTCAACTTCCAGAGCCCCCGAAGAAAAGGAGAGAGACTGCCCCTAATTCTGGCTCTCCGAGTTTTCCGCGCAGGTTAGACTGCAACGAGCCAACGTAGAACGACAGCAAGCTTGCGAACACAAGCTTTGGGGTTGGACCTTCCTTGAACCCTTCAATGTAAACCCTAAACCCTAAACCCTAAACCCTAAACCCTAAACCCTAAACCCTAAACCCTACCGAGCAAACCCAGAAAGCAAAGCTCCGCCTCCATTTCTGGCCGATGTGCTTTCGAGGAGTGGTGCCAGGGCGCATGCGTCAGCACCTGGCCAAACACCCGCAAGCATGCTACCCTACTCCCCATTCACCCTAAACCCTACACCCTAAACCCTAAACCCTTAACCCTAAACCCTAAACCCTAAACCCTATACCCTAACCAAAAATGCTACTCTACTCCCCTAAACCCTAAACCCTAAACCCTAAACCCTAAACCACGCCGGAAAAGGTCCAGAGCACCACGACGTGCTCTGCTTGAGACCGGTTGATGCGGCTCAGCTCGCTTTGGAGCCAGCGGATCTGGGGCGAGCTCGGAGAGCTGTCAGTGTACCTGAGCACGGTTTAGGGCTTAGGGTCCAGGGTCTAGGGTTTAGGGTTAGGGTTTAGGGTTTAGGGTTTAAGGTTTAGGGTTTAGGGGACTCTATGAGCTTGGGAGGCCATCTTGGGGTAGTCACATGGTCCCTCTGAGATACCCTATACAAATTGAGGGCCCCTACATCAGAACCCGTTAAGGGAGGTAAGGGAGCGTACTAAGGAACCATGAACCTACCCTTAGATGCCAAGGAAATGAATGATGCTATGGCAATACCCCGTTTCTTCGATTTCTTGTAGATGCTTGAAGTCTTTGCTTACACTGACGGACATATCACATGATCCCAAAGGCGTGGTGGCTGGTGCTGAGCTGTTGCGTGGTGACGGCATCACATACAACTCCGTCAGGCATAGTCGCACAAACCACGACAGAGACTCCAAACCCTAAACCCTAGACCCTAGACCCTAAATCCTAAACCCTAAACCCTAAACCCTAAGCCCTCCATCAGGAGCGCCACCATGCATGACACGGC